AAAATGGAGTCTGAATGGCTTTGGGAGTGAGAGGGGGCATCAGCTTCTCAGTGGAGGCGGTGACGTGTGCCCTGGGTTGGGGAGGCCAGCATGGTCCGCGTGGGCAGTGTTCTTTCCTCTCGCAAGAAGTCCCTTCCTGGTCCCCGGTCCCCGGCTTCCTAAGATGAGTTGTGGGATGCTGTTGGGCTTGAGGCAATGCTGAGCCTGTAGAAAGAGGCTAGATTGGCCCCATACATGGGATTGGGAGGATCTCGGTGGGACAGAGTTTCTTAGCTGCATCAGAATCTGTCATTTTTGAAGGGTGACAGGTTACAGCCTCCCCATTCACCAATGTCCTGAATAAGGAATGACATGTCCTAAACAGCTAGCTCTGTGACTTCTGCCAAACCTGTGCTGATGACATGGACCGGCCTGGGGACAGGACACAGTGAGGTGGGTGCGAGCAAATGCTTCAGGGCCATCGGGCTGGGCTCACATCCCAGCTCCGCCACCAGCCCACTGTCCCATCCTGGCTCTGAGCCTTGGTTCGAGCTGACACACAATTGAGAATAAAATATGTATTTGGTAATGTCATGGCCTTCAGTTATAGAAGGGCTTCTAAACTGAACTTTTTTTTAGAATTTGTCGAGGGGGAGGATCAGCCTTCTTTCTTCATCAGACAATGAGATTTTGATAGGTCAGCATTTCCCAAGACGTGCTCTGTGGAACACGAGATGCCACACAAGCAGAGGGTCTGGCGTTGGGCATGAGTGTGGGTGCGGCTGGGGGAAGCAGAGGGGAGCAGCTGTGTTTGCTGCAGGGCTTCTCAGAGCCTTTATAAGCGAAGATCCTTGTGAAGCTCCACGCATGAGTGACAGGTGCAGTGTCTCCCCAGCTTCATTTGACCGAGGAACCCTTTCCCACAGGCACACCATGGGACACGTCTGGGGAAGAGTTGCTGTTGTAGGCCTCTTTCTCTCTTGGCTCCAGGACGCTTCTGTCTCCATCTGATGCTCACACAGTCACCACAGCAGCCAGGCTCTTGGTATAGTCATGCCCCCCGCACCCTCCCCCCATCTTCTGCGGTGCTGGTTTCTAGTTTTGCATTGCTGTGCATGCATTTTGTAGTGCAGGATGCCTTAGATACTGTGTGTAAGTGAGGAGGGTGGGATGGCATCACCTGGCGATACAGAGCCCATGCTAGGACCATGGGCAATTCCGAGCCCTCAGGGGCTAGGCAGGGGCTGGCATGCAGTTCACCGCTGCCACAATTGTCATCACCCCTTGGAAGACTGGGATGAATGCAGCCCTTCCGGGACCCCTTCGAGCTCTGATTATTTTGTCCTGGGTGACGAAGAAAGGAGGGCAGCCTTAGTCGGTTTGGCTCAGTGGGTACAGGGTCAACCCTGGACTGAAGGGTCCTGGGTTTGATCCGGTCAAGGGCACATACATTGGTTGCAGGCTTGATCCTCGGCCCTGGTCGGGAAGCATGTGCAGAGGCAACCAATCGATGTGTCTCTCTCACATCGATGTTTCTCTCTCTCTGTCTCTCCCTCTCCCTTGTGCCATCTCTAAAAATCAATGGAAAAATATCCTCAGGTGAGGATTAACAAAAAGAAAAAAAGACAGGAGGGCAAGTGTCAGCATGTTTGTGTCCTGCAAGAACTGCTAAAGAGAGTAAAAGCAACCTTGTACTGGCCACAGCTGACCTCAAAAATGGCATCATCTCTGCCGTCGTTGCGCTGAGAAAGACAGAGGCAATTGGACCGGGGAGCCCTGGCTTTTGATGAGGTGCTCTTAGGTGCGGGTGAGCCACCGGGAGCTGAGGGCACCCTGAGGGCCACAGGCCAATGAGAAGCACGTCCCAGGAGCCTGCCTGCAGCTGCACGGAGCAGCCGGGAGCACTGTCACATTGCCTGCCTCCTGGAGGGGGTGTGTGCTAGTGGAGGTGCAGGTGCCACCACTGCTTCCTTAGATCCCTGAACCCCCAATAAATAGGTCTCTCTATCTTTCAGTTGACTTATATGGGTAGGAGTGGAGACTGGAGAAAGTGCCCCTACCCCACTCCCTGTATTTCAATCTGCAGGGAGCCCTAGTGGGGAGAGAGATAAATTTAGTAGGTAGTGACCAGCATTTCATCACATGAGCTAGAATGGAAAGGCTGTAGTAGGGATTAAGTATTACTTCATGAAAGAGAGATAGATGGACAGGCACGCAGATAGGTTCGGGGTTGCAGTAGAAAAGGCATTACTCTGGGTTGCACTCAGCGACATCTCAAAGCCACTGGCCAGCTGATTCCGGGGGTTGGCACCAGCTGGATCTGTCCTGGGCTCTGGGGTTCAGTCCCAGGCCAAGTTGTCCCTCCAGAGAAAAATGTACCCTGAAGAGAGGTGCTTGTGATGCGTCTCCCTGTGAGAGAGACATTTTTGTGTGCATCAGGCCACTGAGCCTGGAAGGCACTGCTGGAAGAAGGGCACCCCCACTCCTGGCTGACGGAGGCTGCCACTGTCAGCTGCAGTGTGTGTGTGTCCATCAGACTCCGAAGGCTCCTGAGAAGGGGGAGCTCTGGACTTGGAATCCCCGGTTCTGGTTCCAATCCTGGGCCCCCCACTCATTGCTGTGTGACTCATGGGGAGTGACTTGCCCTCTCTGGGCCTCAGTTTACTCATGTTCAAGGGGAGAATTGAAGCAGGTGACTTCTTTTCTAAGGTCTCGTCTTATAGTTGTTGCTGGTGAAACAGAAAACCTGGACCTGGGAGGAAATCACAAAAGGGAAGCCAGTATTGTCCCCAGCCTTCTCCCTAAGGCCCGTGCACGCAAAGGGTCTAGTCAGCCCGAGGTGCATCAGCGAGTGTGTCTGTAGACCTTGGCGGGGCCAGAGTGTGCGCAGAGGTGTGTGTGCGGGTCAGCAGATGGCCCAGCCCTGGCCGCTCTCGGGGTACATGATGACAGAGGCAGCCGAGCCTGAACCTGGTCTCCATGGGCAGTATTTATTAGACGCCATTCTCAGTGTGAAGACAGATAGGCAGCAGGGTCTAAAGGGAGGCCGTGGCAGCCGCAGCCTTTGGGGTCCGGGGGCTGCCCGGGGTGGGGGTGTGGGCGTGGGGCATGTCACCCACACATATTGCATATTCTGTGGCAGTGTGCCCAGGCATAAGGCATTGGGGAAGCAGAAAGGCTGCCCGCAGTGGGAGGGGGGAGGGAAGCAACGCTGGCCGTCCGGTTCCCCGGGAAAGACCCAGCAGAGACTGGGAGCCTGGAGACCGAGCCGTCCGCCCAGGGCCATTCAGCCTCCTTCCCCACCATCTCCCTGCAACTTTGGTTGTGGCTCCCTCAGGACTGACGGGACAGGACCCCTCGAGGGCAGGGTCACACACAAGACAGAGGCAGCTGGCACCGCTCCCCACCCCAACATAAACACAGAGGGCACCCCGGCTCCTGGGCCCTGCTCTCCTTGGCACGTGGGCGGCCAGCTCCTCCCGCTGAGACAGGACTCACACACAGGCCAGGCCAGACTTCTTCCCTCCCAGGGGTTCCCAGAGGCTGATCACCCCGTGGTCCCCACTCTAGCTTTTCCGCAGGCCAGCGTGGGCCTGGCTGAGCGTGTTCAGGAGCTGGGACATGGGAACAGCATGCAAGGGCAGCACGGAGGGAGGAGAAGCCTCTCACCCACCCTTTGATGCTGTCCTGAGTCAGGCGCCAGCTCCAGTTGTGGGTCCCCGCAGGGAGCCTCGGTTCCCACCTCCATCTCTGCTCTCCCTTTGGGTTTCTGGGTGGCAGGTGACATAGGCCGTTGGCACACCAACTCCAAGCCCCCCACCTGGGAGGGGCGTGCCTTGCTGCAGCCTTAGCTTATCTCTAGCCACGCGGGACACAGGCACCAACACCGGCTGTGGGGTCAGGGATGAAGTCCCAGTAGGATATGCCTGCCAGCTCTCTAGCCCCAGCACTGGCTCAGACCTGAGGTCTGGGCCTGTTTTAGGCCCCGTTGCCCACACAATGCCAGGGCACAGGGCAGGAGCTTTGCGTTCAGGAGCGGGCAGAGGAATGGGAAGGAAAGAGCACTCCGCCTGGGGACTGGCACAGACCTGAGGTCTGGGCCTGTTTTGGGCCCTGTTGCCCACACAATGCCAGGGCACAAGCTTTGCGTTCAGGAGTGGGCAGAGGAATGGGAAGGAAAGAGCACTCCGCCTGGGAACAAGTGGCCTGGGTTCTGGTCCCCCTGTGCCTTTTGCTGTACGTGTCACCTTGGACAAGTCACATCCCCTGTTTGGGCCTCACTGTCATCGGTAAAATGTGGATGAGCATCCCTGCCCTGGTGACCTAACTGGAGTGTTGGGAGACTCAGACGATGAGGAGTCAGGATGTGGTTTCCAAGGCGACAACTCATTCCACAGATGTCGGAGTTGGTGATGGTGAGCAGTGGCCGGATGGCAAGCAGGACGTTTTCTGGTCCATCAAGGGGAGTGTTGGTCAGAAGGCTGCATTCCCTCTGCCCCTCTGGGAATGTGACTGAAGGCCACTTGGTTCTCACCTGCCAGCGGGACCACCCAGGCCATTGGCTCTCCCCTCCCTTCTCTGCCCCTCACTTCTCTGCCGGCTCCTGTAGGGGGCCTGGCCTGGCTTCTGTCCACCTGCCCTCTGGGGTCTAGCTTTAGGGACTGCTGGGTTTCCACTTTCTCCATAACTGCAAAGCCATGCAAAACAACACAGAAGGTCGTGGGAGGTTCGGAGACATAACTGGGGGTGAGGAAGGGGAGCAGACTGAGTGGGGGTGACCTGGACAAAGACACCCTGGCTTTTGGAGCCCAGGGAAGGTGGGAGACCTGGCAGGACAGAGGTATAAATAGAGATGCAAACGTACACGGAACACGAAGTCCCCTCCGGATTGGGGGAGGGGGGGCAGTCTGGGTACCAGCAGGGCCTCTGAGAACTGGGGGGCTCCTTAGATTTCCAAAGGGACGGGAGGCTCCCAGCTTCTGCCTTCCCTCCCTGCTACCCTCCCCCCCGCCCCCCAAGTTTCACATTTCTCGGAATTTGCAGGGCGCAGATAGGGGCTCTAGGGTCCTCAGAGCCCCAGCTCCTGCTGGCTGGTGCGAGCAGGCACAGTCGGAGATGGGGGGGCTGGGGAGGGTGGAGAGGGGTGGGGCGTCCCCCAGGGG